CAATGTTATCGTTAGTCATAGAAAATAAAAACAGACTTCTGAGTAAAGAAAAATACGTGTTTAGAAAATAATATTGTAGCAAATGTACTCAAATATGAGCACAAATGATTATCTTACTTCACTCATGCATTGCTTTGACTTCAAAAGCAGCCAAATCGCAGGTGAATAGGCTCATAGCGGCGCTATGACAATGATAATATTTAAAACATGTCCTACTATTCTCTCATATTATCATTTACTTGATTTTAACTAATCATTTTCTATATAATAGGATGGAATCAATTGGTTAATGTTTCTTAAACGATACAATTTATCATGTGTTCTTGCTGACGATATGGGTTTAGGAAAAGTAACATTCTTTTGTTCTTCTTGTCTTATATGTTAATTTTCCTATTAGACACTTCAAACAATTTGTGTTCTTGCTGCTGATATTGTCGAGCGAAGAAAAGAGGTTTCTAACAAAAGAAAACTAGCTAAGTTTCTTTAAAAATTTTGATTTATATTAATAGAATTTTGAAATACGACCATCACTTGTTGTGTCACCACCAACATTAACTCGACATTGGACAAGTGAAATGAATAAATTTGTTAGTGACGATATTCTTCGACCATTACTTTACTCTGGAAAAAATTTAGCTGAACGTGAAGGGTACATAATTAATTCCTACTTGTTATTTTTCCTTGTTTTTCTATTTTTTTTTTGAAATTATTTAGATTACGAATTAAATATTTTCAAAATCCAAAAGAATATACAGTTATTGTTGCTTCATATGATGTTGTTCGTAGTGACATAACATTTTTTTCGTAAATATTTCATATTAATTTTATTCTTTATCTTTATTTGTTTAACATAATTTTCCATTTTATATAGAACTATTCCATTTAATTATTGCGTACTTGATGAAGGTCATGTTATTCGAAATTCTAAAACAAAATTATCGAAAGCTATTCGTCAGATTTCAGCAGGTCTATATTAAAAAAAAACCTATTTCATAATGAAAATAATAATTCTTTTTTTTGCTCTATGTAGCTCATCGTCTCATATTATCGGGTACACCTATACAAAATAATGCACTTGAACTTTGGAAATTATTTGATTTTCTAATGCCGGGTTATTTGGGTTCAGAAAAACAATTTATTCGTCGCTATCAAAAACCATTATTAGCTTCAAGTCGTGATCGTGATCTCGAATATGGTAAAAATAAAAACACAATAATTTTCACAGAATAATAACAAAAAACTTCGTTTTTTTAATTTTTAAATTTCATATAGGACAATTAGCAATGGATGTTTTACATAAACAAGTTAAACCATTTATGTTACGTCGTTTAAAATCAGATGTATTAGATGATTTACCACCGAAAATTTTACAAGATTATTATTGTGATTTAAGTTCAATACAATGTATGCTTTATGAAGATTTTGCTAATAAAACAAAAGAACAAGTTAAATATGTTGATGATGAGTCAACAAATCAAAATGGAAATTCTTCAACAGGTCATGTATTTAAGGTAAAAAAAAAATATCTTGTTAATAAAATTCTTATTTTGACTTATATTTATGTATTAGGCATTACAATATTTACGTAAATTATGTAATCATCCATCATTGATTTTAACACCTGAACATCCAAAATGGTCAAGTGTACAAAATGAATTAAAAGAATCACAAATCAACTTGAATGATATTCGTTTATCAGGAAAATTACTTGCTCTCAAGTAAGTTGATCATAATATTAAAGAAATAAAATATTTGTGATTAGTAAAATAAATGAAGTAGTCAATTAGTGATGAATCAGATTTGTTGTCGAATTTAAAGATTATGAAAAACAATTGACTAACGCTCAATTTGGGAATGCACGATTTCAGTAAACTATTCATTGAACACTCTTACACTGATTACACTGGATCGGTTTTTACCGATTTATCTGATGTATTCATAGTATATTGATGTCCCAATGCTTCAGTGAACGCCCATCCAGATTAGTCAGCGGAGTCACTGTCAATATTTTCGTCGAAACTGCATATCCCTAAGACAACTAAATCAAAAGATAAATATCAAGATTGAAATGCGTTCTAGTTTGATTCACTGTTCAATATGAAATTGATGTATCTCAGATGATGAGCTTGTAGAAGAGAATTATGAAATAAATAGAAACGAAAGATTTTGCCGAAAAGAAAAACGAAATAAAACGTATTCGTTTGAGAAAGTTATATTTCATAATGTTGATAGAGCAGAGCCATGAATTGAACATGACTGGTCAAAAAATTATGATAAATCACAATAACAAATAATGATTTTATTTTGTTCCGATATGATAAATTAATACTAAAGTGAATTGATAAAATATATTAAGCCTATTTTGATGAATATTCATTAAATAGAAATATTCTAATAGGTGTTCCCTCGTAGAAATAGTCTTTGACATCAGTAAAAATGATAAGATTTGCAAAAAAAAAAACAGTCAAAAAAATCTATACCGAATCAGATTAGCCATTTATCATTACCGGTTACAAATCTAGGGAATAGTTAATGACAGATGCAACAAAGCCAAGGATCGTATACTTTAATGTAGAGTAAGTATTTATTTACCATATCATGCAGACCTGGAAAAAGTTACTATGTATAAATCTGAAGCTGACCGTGATGATTATAAGGGTGCGATGAATATGGATGTACATGAAATGAAAACTCACGCTCTGTTTTATAAACGGATGAAAAGAATCCTCATTATAACTTTTAATCCGGATTATATATAATACACTGACTATTTTTTAATTACATATTGATAATTGAAGTACTGATTATTTAAATTAAAACTCTTTTTTTTTAATCTTTTAACAGAGAATTATTAATTGAATGTGGTATCGGTGTATCAAAAGACGCTGTTGTATCAACACATCGTGCATTAGTTTTTTGTCAAATGAAAGTAATGATTGATGTAATTATTAATCAAGTTCTTGGGTATATTCATGATATTGAATTTTTTTTTTTAAATTGATTTTCGTGTTGTTTTTAGAACAATGGATAATGTTAGTTTTCTTCGTTTGGATAGTTCAATGAATGCAATTGATCGTTATAATACAGTTAATTTATTTAATTCAGATCCAAGTATTGATCTTTTATTACTTACAACACATATTGGTGGTCTTGGTTTAAATTTAACTGGTGCTGATACAGTTATATTTGTTGAACATGATTGGAATCCAAGTAAAGATCTTCAAGCTATGGATCGTGCACATCGTATTGGACAAAAAAAAGTTGTTAATGTTTATCGATTAATAACACGAAATACAATTGAAGAAAAAATTATGAAGTTTGTATTTGAAGTTATTTTTATTGAATAATTTTTTTTTTCTCTTCATCTGATTATTTATTTTAGTCTTCAACGATTTAAAACAAATTTAGCTGATACAGTATTGGCATCAGATAATAATTCATCGAGTTTATTTAGTTTAGAAAAAGATACAAATTTAATTGATCTTATATCATTAGGTGACGAAACAAAAGGACAATCATTAGTAATGGATAATTCAACGAAAAAATCCAATACAAATAAAAAACAAACATTAAAAACAATACTTGATACATTTTCTGAGCAAGTTGATAATGATGTTGATTGTTATAATGATGAATATAATGTGAACAAATTTATTCAACAGCAATAATGAAAGATACCAAGAATCTCGTGATAACAAAATAAATTATCAATCATTACTTTCTTTGTCTATTGTCTTCTTTTCTTTTCAAGTAAATAAACTCTCTTTAAATATACATATATATATATTTATATAATTGCCTTTAAACATATTTATTATTCAAACTATACTTAAAACAAGATATATGAAATAAACTGAAAAAAAAAACAACAATCCAATTCTACATTGATATTATTTTGTTTACATATTATAATATCTCATAATATTCATGGTGGTTGTTCGAAAGTCATGTAAACAGTTAGAAAAAAAGAAGACTGGATTTCTGAAATAGCACCTTTCATCACATGGGAGAGAAGAACGAGGTACTGTGGCTCATGATATGAGCAGAAAAGATCCGAGCCATAAGTATACATAAAGTTTGCGACATGCTTTGATGACTACGCATTTGGTTTTTGGACATAGTTGCAACATAGTTTTAACTGGACTAGTCGATTTTTACAAGTTGAAAATATACCAATTTTCTCTTGTAGAACTTATAGTGGGCAGAATCTTTTGCTCCTATCAAAACAACCCAACAGTGTTGCTGCAAGAATGGTTACAGTAAAACCTCTGATAGTAGATACCTCTATATAATGGTTATTTTTCATAGTCCTACGTGTCATTATTTTTTTTTACTGAAAATGGATATCCCAATAATGGACACCATCACATCGTTTTATGATAGGTATTTTCGAAAATTTTCAATGGTTTCCATGGCAGGACTATTTTAATATATTTTAACAATTATTGATTTTCCCGGAAAAAAAATACATGAAAATAGAAGTAACAATGAATAGTCACTAAGTTATTTATTTATGAATAGTGGACATCTTTCTACACTGAAAACCTTTGAAAAGTCCAAAGGGTCTCCACTATAGAGAGATTATATTATATTTTATTTTCTTCTGTGTGTTCAAACTGTTTTTTTTTTCTTGAATCGTAGTATATTTCATTTTTTTTAAGAAGCGCAATCAAAAATGTGTCACTCGAGCTAAATCTATATTTTATTTGCTTTGGTAAAGATCAAATTCAAGTTTGGATCGTTTTTCGAAGCGAAACATTAGATTTGTCTGAAAAGGCTGAGTTCATTAATTCAAGATTTGAATTTTAGTCATCATTTGATGGGTGAATGGCTATTATTTTTCATGTTACATACAGAAACATCATATATTCATCTTTGAAAAACTCAACAGATACAAATGACTATAGCACAATAAATTTTTCCAGAGATTTTTAAAACCTTGAATTCGAAAAGAAAAAAATGGATGTTTTCTTTGAAGCCATTCTCATTAATCGATTAGTAATGGTCCAATGAATCGACCGAATCAAATCAGTTGAAAAACTCTCGACTAGTCACAAATCTTTAAATCACAACAGAGTATTGATATTCACTGACATAATATAGATATTGCATATGAAAAAGAAACTATTTTACTTGCAGTAAATTTCTATTATGAGAGAGAGCGTTTTGAAAAAAATCACTTGATCACTAAGACTTAGATGAAAATCTAAAACAGCGAAAAACAGATTATGTGAACTCCAAAAGATTCTATAGCTGTTGCATAAATAATATTGTAGACTGAAGCTTATATGTTCAAATATAGATTCGAAAATGTATAAAACTATTCAATTCTTCGAATTAATTCGGTTGAAAGATGTGAATTCATTCCAATAAGATGAATGCAATAAAGAAAATAACACCACATATATTTATATATATATATATAAGTGTGTTTGAAATATAGATTAACATTCTAAAGAGATCTTTATTATAGTAATATATTCAGAGATTTTCCAGACTAATATTCTTTCTTTAAAAAAAAATCATTGAGCAATGCATATCATTTAGAGAAATAACTTAAGAATCATAACTGAGAATGATAATCAATGATGAGTACTTTTTCATATATTCGAATGATAGTCAATATTTTTCGGATCTAATGCTTCGAAACTTTTAGTAAAAAGAAAATATAAATCATTTCTATTATATGATGACAAGATAAATGTAGATCACATAAAAGATCCGTTATGTAGATTATATTGTATATCTTCTATAATCAGTACATTTATTTTTCTTAATAACTTTGGTCGTCTAATGCTAAAGAGATTTCAATCGTTATAAAATTGCGATTTTCTGACGCATGTATATTTTTCTAATAGATCATTAAGATTAGACTTTTATGAGAAACTATTATTGTTTATTTCTTAGTTACACTGGAAACTATATCCTTGAGGTATAATTTCGATAACATGGTAAATGATCGATCATTTACAAGAATAATAAAACTGAACTAAATACAAAACATCATGTTTACAATGTATTATGATTTCATCTTAATTTGTAACTGTGTTATGTTTAAATAATGAAACGAATAAATTTTTGATCAACATTAAATAAACATTTTTCATCAATAGCGAGTCCTAAACTGTATAGAACACGATTGGTTATAATGAATCAAATTAATTTCAATTTCAAATTCAACAAAAAGATTATTTGTATGAAATTAAACGATTAGAAAAAGTCTGCTTCTGTTATGAGCTTCAATGCAAAATATATTAGTTTTACAATATAAACATTCATAACAGGAGATGATTAGAGTAACATTGGGAACCATATTCATCTCAAATGTGTCTTAGTGACTGCAAACGACATTTTAAACAGAAAGACAAAGTAATGATTATTGAATAATTGATTGTTACACTTATTCATGTCATCTGAAGCGTCTATTATTTTTGAATGAATATCAAAATAGAATAACAGTATTCATAGATTGAAACACAAAAAAAATGATCACAATAGCAGCTGCAAATTTGATTCAAATTTTATCTATCATACTAATTCAAGTGTTGCTATTCCATTGAAATATAAATATTTCACGAACGTTTTCTTTCGATAAACAAAAAGACATGTCATAGTGACTTACAATAGCTTCAATGAAGCATGTCGTATCACATACGCAACTAATATAACGATAAAAGAAATTCAGTAATGACGAACTGTGAATGAAAATTCTTTTTTTTTCCAAAGTTAGTTAAATATATTGTTGACAATATCTTGTATAATTATTCATAGAATAATTCTATAGTCTTTATTTACAATCGAACAGATGTTCGAAGGCAATCAATGAAAAAAATTTGAAAAATGAATAAATCAACACATCAAATTTTGAGTAACGAATAAATTATTATTCTATGGCAAAATAGACTTATTGTAGCATCTTTCATACAAAAGTTCCATGAAAAAATAATATTATATTATCATAAAGTTACAGCCAAAGAGTTACATTCAATATTTAATGATGTATTATTATTATTATTATTATCTATTTCGACACCAATCAAGAATATTAATAGTATGGTTTCATACAATCTCCAAGGCATCAGTCATTAATAAATTCTATAAATGACTTCCAGAAAACAAAGATGCATAATTTTTATATACGTATTAACAGATGTCAAACGGTTTTTCTAGAGCAGAAAACAAAAATATTACATCTTGATAAAGGTCTAATGATTGTTAGATTTCTTTTGTCCTATATAAAGAAAAAACAAATTATCGATATAGTCGTATGTTTTTTTTTTTCTTTCTATATAATTGTTTTGACTCTACCGAAATTGTTGGCGTTGACACAAAGAAATGTTTTTTTTTTATTAGATAATTATTTACTATTCGTTAAATTTTGTCCATGAAATGAAAACAGACTTTTGCTTCCAAGATAAACTCATTAAAAAAGTTTGAGCATCTTACAATAGACCAGTATATTTACATGGGAGAAATCAAATTCTACCCGGTTGGTGTTATATGTTATATATGTAATAAAAAAAGCATTATGGATTTTTCTCAATTCATAATGTATTCCAAGACTTTTTTTAGTATTTCTCTGATAGTATTCCATTAAAGTCAAGGTCGAATATTTAATAATGAATAAACAAAAATAAATTGAGCAACTCCCATTAGAAATCTTTTTCGAAAAAAATCTAATTTTTCTATTGAATTTGTTTTAAGATCTTGATAAACTTCAATGTTTTCGTATAATATAAGATCAACTTCATTAGTAGGAATCATCGATAACCCACAGAGTAGTAGATCTGAAAATTAAACACAATCTCATATGATACAAAGATATATCAATATATATTATTTACATGCATTACATTATCATTCTCATTTTCATTTCGTATAATAGAAAAACCTTATAAATCTCTTCAGTAATTTACAGAGCTGTCGCGAGAAGTAGGGAGCGGAGGGTGACTCCCCCATAAACTTTAGAAATTTTTTTTTGCTCAATGTTTTTCAAAAATCGTTTTAAAATTATCAAAAATTCTTCAAAAATTTCCAAAAATCTTCAAATATTTTCAAAGATCTCTAAAAATTTTCAATAAATCTGTAAATTTCTTTTTTTAAAATTTCGATAATTTATAGAAGTTTTTGAACAATTTTTCGATCCCCTCCTAATCTTTAACACTTCGCCACAGCTCTGGTAATTTATTTCACAAAAACTATTAATAAAAATTTGTCACATAACAAGTGCATTTCAAAATCCACGCCAAAACAATCGTCACACAACGATCGTTCAATGAATATAAGATTTAATTATCATCATGCATCACGAGAATGACTTATTATAATAAAAACTCGATAACCCTTTCTCCATGATATATATTCGGAATACAATCAACGATTAATCATTAATTATTCTTTCTACAAATAGTATGCTAAAACCAAAATAGAATGATCAAAAAATTCCAATTTGAATAAACAAACAATATATTTTCTAACGTTGACTGTTTTCATCGGATCAATTAATACACTAATAGTACATTTCACTGTTAAGCAGTCTAGAATATTTGCCTACAATGGTTTATCTCATTTCATGTATTCTTGTCTGTCCAAATATTCATTTGAATGGTTTATATGACATAAGACATAAAGCAGTTTCTGATCAAATTTTAATCAAATTCATTAAATT